CATGGGTTCCAAGCCAACTGACCACTAAGCAGAAATAATATTAAATTCTCTGTAAAAGATGTGAGGGATGGAATGTCTTTTCTTTCCTCATAAGCCTTTAGTAACCGTGTGTGTGTGTGTGTGTGTGTGTGTGTATACATAATTAAATCTAATGTAAAAGTTGAAATTAACTTTAAGGGGTTCTTTCTTTTGTTTTTGTTATTTTTGTTTGTTTGTTTGTTTGTTTGCTTGCTTGCTTACTTTGAGACAGGGTTTCTCTGTGTAGTCCTGGTTGCCCTAGACTCACTTTGTAGACCAGGCCACCACACCCAGCCAACTTTAAGGTTTTTTTATTAAATAAAAATCAAAGTGGGTCAAAATTCTGGCTGCAGGGGAAAGCTATAGATGACGAGGGGAAAGAGCTTGCTGATTTCTTCTCTGGTTTAAGAATAAAGATGGAACCCAGTCTGAGAGAGCACGCCTTTAATGCCAGCACTTAGGGAAGCAGAGGCAGGTAGATAGCTGTGAGTTCCAGGCCAGCCTGGTCTATAAAATGAGTCCAGGACAGCCAAGGCTGCACAGAGAAACCCTGTCTTGGAAAAACAAAATAATAAAGATGGAGCTAACATTATATATTTGGAGGAATAATTGATTTCATATATTTATTGAAAGAATTGACTTGATTCTGTAAGAAATTATTCTCTTCAATTAATGATGTACCTGTAATCCTCTGAAGTTTCTTTCTTTGGAATGTTGTGTTTTTAATTTAGGTAATGTGTAACATAAAATTCATACTACTCACCATATTTGACTGTACAGTGAGGCCTTATTAAATTTATTCAGATTGTTGCACAACAATCTCTAGAATATTTTCATCTCACATAACTGAAACTGTCCTTTAAACAGACAATTTCTCTGTGAGAATAAGAATCATTAAGCATGTCTCAGGCTAGAGGGAGAAGCTATACAATGTACAGAGGCTTCTACCTTCTAAAAGCATTCTAAAAGCTTTTATGAATGGGGCCTTCTCATCGTTAGAAGAACAATAAATACCTCCAAGTCTTCATCTCTCCAGTGGTTTTTATTTTCTACTTCATATTGCCAAAAAAAGGGGGGGCTGTAACAAAACTGGTAATCATAGTTTTTAAGAAGCAGCATTTTTAAACTCCTCGGATCTGTATTTTTAGGTGGAACAAGCATCTATGAATCTTTCATTTCACGGCCTTAGGTTGCTCCCCTGCGTACGTCATAGCCTCCACCTTCTACTTTCATGTCATGTCTATTTTTTCATCTAGATTCAAATATGGGAGAAAACATGCAATATTCATCTTTCTGGACTTGGTTTTTTTTTTTATTAACATGATGATCTCCTTTCATCTATTTCTCTGAAAATGACAAACTCCAATGCTTATGTATGTACGTATACATGTATGTATGTATATCATATTTTAGACTTCTGATTATAGAATAATTTCAACTGTGTGGAAAGACTTCAAGAATAGAACAAACCAGACATTCTTTCCATGAGCACCAGCCATCATATTTTTTAGCACTTGATATATACATCAAATATACATATATAGATATTAGGAATTGTACAAACCTACACTTTTTGCTTAAATTCTACAACCTGTATCTCGGAACAAGGAAATTCTCTTACAGACTTTCATTGTCAAATTCAAGGAATCCACAAATACAGTGTTATCCACACATACACAATTACATATTCAAATCTGATGAGTTATCACAATAATGTCCAGGCATCAATTCAGAACCATGCGTTGTATTTACTTCAGTATCCCTGGGGTCTATTGCTGTCAAATTGCACCTAACCTTGTCATTGTGTTCTGTGACACCAGAACTCTTTTAAGACTGCAGAGTCAGGGAAAAGAATCCTTGACTCCGGGCTTTTCTGAACCTTCTCCTCTGTTGAGGTCACTCGCCCATTTTGAGCAAGAGTGTTAATCCCTGCTGTTGAACCTCAGCGCAATGTGTAAAGAAGAGCCAGGTACCAGTTTCTCCTGTGAATAGGGAGTGTTGAATACTTAGTAAAGACGGTACCTCTTTTAAATTCAGACACCAGACACACACACACACACACACACACACACACACACACACGATGCCTGCTTTCTTGTCCAATTAATAAGCAGAAAGATGCTGTGACATTATGCAATTACCTGATGTGTTTTAAATTTTCCTTAATCATCGTAATATCCATTAAGGATTCTGGCCCAATTCAGTTATTACTGTGATGGCTGCAAAATGGCAATTTTCCCATTCTATTATTTCTGCTGCATTTATTGGCTGACATGCTTTGCAGAGAGCTTTCCTTTGTCTTAATCACTTGCCTGCTACACTGTAAGTTCATTGATTTTCTTTTTAATTTCAGTTGGTGGTTTGAAATTTAGTCTTCTATCATTTATTTTGAAACTCAAGTTTTTCCCTTTTGCTGAAAGGAATCTCTTGAAGCCTCCTGTCGTGTGTGTGTGTGTGTGTGTGTGTGTGTGTGTGTGTGTGTGTGTGTG